TGTGACTGATTAACCAACATGCAGCTGCAATCAGTGATGTAGTTTATCACCTCTTAGTTATAAAGCCACTAGTTATTTATTCCCCCAATTAGTCTATCTACAGAATCTACAAGTTAAGAGTTAAAGAGAACAGTAATCCTTCATGGTAGCTGTAAATATTTCAAGGTTGAGTATGCAGTATTCTGTGTTTGTCTCCTGTACCTGAATAGTGATTGTCTACTAGGTATAAGAAATGCACGTGTGAGGCCTCTGGAATAATAGGGCACACAGGCTGAAGGTAGTTTCTCATGAGCAGGCACGGATAATAGCCAGCTGTGGTCCTGGCTCATACAGGCAACAGTATTCATAAGTTTGTTTTTACAAGAATAAGTAGGCGGGCAGGGTAATCCTACTAGTAGCCTCCCCTTAGTGCTCATTCTATGTGCTTTACCTGTAGCTTTACATCAAATGTAAAGTGCAATATATCAAATAACTGATTATAATGGTAGTTTTTATTTTCATTCAGAGAGTATTCACTATCAACCAAGCAAAGCAAAAGAAATGGTAGAATCTGGTAGAATTATTGAACACAGTACCACACTGGATGTAAAATACAAAAAATACTGAAGTACATTTTTTATGGGTTATTTCGTCTGGGTGTCTTATATATATTATATGTCTAAACTGTGATACCATATTCAAGGTTAAATAAAATACAATTAAAAAATAGTCACTCTGTCATCAAACACTACTGCACCCACTATTATTGAAGTAATGTTGTGCTTTCAGTGGTTTTAGGGCTCATTCTACCTCATTTCCCCCCTTTCTTTTATCAATCTAAGGGTCTATCTGTCCTCAGTGTCTTCACTGAATGAAATGTCATTCTGCATTAGACAGTGAATAGGTGAGACTGATTGTTTTTGAGGGTCAAAAACCAGACAATTTTTTAGGTCCGCAGTAAGAGAAGATGGCATTTTAAGGTTTTGGGTTCAGTTTGGGGTAAGGTATAGAATAAGATCCCAGATTAGGGTTAAGGTAAGGATTAAGATTTTGTATACATTTGTAAAGATTAAAGTTAGCGTAAGGGTTCCGTGAATGCATAATGTCTATGTCTGAAGTACTTACAACTCATGAAAACAAGACTGTGTGTTTATGTGTTTGTATGCGTTACAATGAAGGTAAGAGGCGAAAGGAGAGCAAGCCGTGGAGAGCTTGTCAGCCACCGCAGGTCATGAAATATGCATGGAGGTTGCGGTGTCAGTTTGCCAGAGCGAAAGCTGCTGAGAAAGAACACAGACGGGGTTTTCTGAACTGTGCAGCTTACACTGTCTGAACTCTTACTCTGGCTGCTGACTTTCACAGACTACACTTTATTCTATTAATCCTGCCTGTGTCACAGATACTTTGACTTTTCTTTCTGTGATAGTGGTGGTTACATGCTGTCGTCTGTAACTATTAGAGCTTCATAGTAAGAAACTTTTTCACTGTGATGTGGCAAAGTCAACACTGTGTAGCAGTTAAAAACTAAGCCTACAGAGGGGGATAAAAACTCCCAAACTGGGGACCACTTCTGGCCCACACAACCTCCTCAGCTGGCCCATGGCTAGGTGTCAATAATAATTAAATATTATTTAGATATTTTTAGTTTGTCTTTTTTTTCACTAAAGTTAAAAAAAGTTCAATAAAAGCAAATCAATTGGGTTGAATAATCATGATTTCAATAAGAATAAAAAAGAAAATCATGATTATGATTCTTTCCATAATCGAGCAGCCCTCCCTCCAATTACTTCTAACTGGGAAATACTTTTTTAACAAAGCGCAATTCTAATGTTGGATGGCTACATAGTGGATTAAAAAAAGCTAAAATTACAAGAATAAAGTCACAGGTTTATGAGATACATGTTGTAATGTTGTACGAATGCCAAAAACTAAAGAAAACACACACTGACAGAAAACAATGACTAAAATCTATTCTGTATTATAGTGTAGTATAAAGTTATTGTAATGTATTAGTTGTACGTAGGGCATGAACTTCATTAACTTGACCAATAGTCATAATCACTTGGCCTCAAAAATAGGCACTATTGTTACTCTGCCGGGAAGGAAGACTTCATCATTGGCACTCAGAAGGAAAAACCTGAGCGACTACATATTCAGAGGATCCCTGTCAGTCAGTCCTGGAAGATGAAACTGTCACAAAGCCAAGAGTAAAAAAGTAACTTGAGAGCAAGCATCTGATGTATGGAGAGTTGCATGCTCATTGTTGGACGCGTATCTGTCAATTTCCTCTGTCAATTTGATGACAAATTTTTGCTTTGAGATACCAGTTAATATTTGAGAACCAGTTAATAATCTACAAGCACATCTACAGACGCTGACGCTAAGTGGCCGAGCATTCGAAGCAGCCCAGAAAAGTAAAACAAAAAACAAAAAAACATAAGAACGTTAGTTAAGTTTATGAAAGTTACGTAATGTACGTGTAAGGTATGGTATGTAATCAAGTGTCTACGTACGGGCCAACTCTCTTCCATCCCTTCCTCCTCCTCCACACATGCCTCCATTAGCCTCTACTGTATCGTCTGTCTCGAAGCTAAGAAAGAATTAAAACCACATTTTATTTTATATCACAGGAATCCTTACATACTATAATTTTGTGTGTATGTCTCTATAGCAATTAAAACATGTTTTTTCCATTGTTATTAGCACTAATAAGGGAGTTTTGTAGAGGGCCGGAATGCATTAATTTCTGTTATTTCTTATGGGAAAAAATGATACGAGCACCTCGAGTTATGAGCTCGGTCCTGGAACGGATTGTGCTCTATTACTGTACCTGTATTTTACTGATTTCCACCATCTGCAATAATACTTTTCAAATGGTATATGCTGTTCCAAAAAAAGCATTCAAGGCAATTCTGTGATGGATTACTGTGAGTTAAAGTGTAATAAATTGAACATGTTAGAATTAGGTGAAATCATACAGAGAGCAGATGAGTCAGGTTTGTGTTATCCTTCCCTGCTATTTTGTAGCTGCAGGCTTTTTCACTTATCACACACACACTGTTTTTCTCAGGAGGACTGCAGTATTATATTTGGAGAGAAGCCAAAATAAAAAATAAAAAAAAATCATCCATCCTTTTCTAACAAATACTCAATGCTGATGTCATGTTCCAAACAGAGCTGTGGCCTTTAAATGATACAAAACACCACGGATGCTGGCAAATTATTCTTCAGTGATTTGGAAGTGTGTCACAGAAGAATTAGT